TTCTACACAAAAAAAAAAAAAAAAAAACCCTTGTCCCTTCAATCAGGAACAAGGTTCTTTCGGAGAAAAAAATTACGGAGGCATAATCAATACAAAATATGTACAAGGCATCAAATGGGTATAAATTCATCATAGCTATAATCACAACTGATTAGCTGCATGTTTGATTAAATTGGCTTGATTTGTGATAATAATTGACTTGTTTTGGCAACTTCTTAAGTGCCCTTTTGAAAGCTGTTAGAGCCCAAAACAAATTACAAAAGAGCAATTGGTCTAACGATTGTCACATGGACTCAGTCTGGAAGGTTTACACTAGGAGGCAAAAAGGAGAGTAACTGTTTTGGGGATTTTCTGTTATCAAATAGGAAGGTTTGTGTGTGACTGCTGTACGTGAAATCATTATGTTAGTTATGGATGGAGAGCAGTAGCTCTCTGTAGGAGCCTCCCTCTGTGGCAGTAGGAATATTTCTTTCAACTGTAATTTTCATTTTCATAAATAATACATACAACCTATCTCTCTTTGTTGCATTGTTTCCTGTTTAATTGTTAAGCAGTGACTCTGGTTTCTATTAAAAACAATTATTTCTTCCATAAAAAATGATGTCAAACATGAACCAAATTCAACTGAATACATCCCTCTGAATCTGATTCAAAAGAAAAGGAATACACACTGTTTAGTATTTCATATCTATCTTATTGCTTTGCCTTGCCAATAGGCTGCCAAAAACATATTAACAAATAAACAGAGTATTTTTCACCATAGATCAGGTAATTGACCTTAAAATAATAATATGCATTTATTTAAGGCATATACATGTTAAACATACCCTTAGAGAGTTAGAGTATTAAAACTCACTCATTTAAGATTTTCTTTTGAGACACATTGGAATCGGAAGGAATGGAAAACTTGGACAAAAATGGAAGCACCAATAACTCCCCCATAGAGCGGCGTTCGTTGCTTCTTTTGTTCTTTTGACCTTTTTTACGCTTGGATGAAGCTGATAAACTGTCGGAGGCAGTCTCCATTGGTGGACCCTGTAGACATTAATGACAAAATGAACCATGACAATAACCAGGGCATAGATTAATGAATTTTTATCAAGAAATAACCTTTGACATTGAAATAACACCAAGTAAGTTCACTGCACTTTTTCTGGCTGTGAACAAATCCTCTCTCCACCCACAAATTTCACCCTAAATATAAAACTCAGGTCAGATATATCTAAAAGTTAAGGTAAAACAAAAACAAAAAGATCAATTTTCATACTATATCTGAAGGAAGATTCTTCCGGATATACTCATCTGGGTCTTCTTCCCACTCTGACACATCCTATGCATAAACATTTCCATAAGAAATTAACAAGAAAAGTATATGTTAAGCAACTCCATTTCATTAATTTATTATTCTTAAGAAAAAGTTTATCCATGTTACGTTTCTTAAATAAATTCTGACCTTCTCATTCATTACTAATGCCGGGAAGATTGCAGATTCCAATAAAGTTGTAAAATGTGGAGAGACTAATCGCCATCCCTGTATAAATTGAAATTTAATTTAATTAATGATGAATGTTTTGAAGAATACACACAATAAAAAATTGCAACATTCAAACAATTGAAATTAAATTTTTAAAATAATTGAAATTAAAGAAAGAAAGAAAGCAAAAAATCAGAAAACCTACCGGCCCAGTCTCCAGTACATTTGAAATTACATCAAAACCTAGGGACAAAAGCCTCTCTGATAGGAAAGGAAGTTTCTGCAAAAGGAATGACAGTTCAAATTTTAGAATGCCCAAAATATGAGGATTGACAAACTACAACAACAAACATCAAGGTAATGTGCATCCAAAATCAAGTTATACAAAAATGAAGAACTGAAAGCAGTGTGTTAAATAAATATCGGTGGCCAATAAATAAAATGCTGGGCGAACAACAGTTTAACAAAGACTATTGATGAGTAGAATAGAATTTTGGAAGTCAGAAAACTAGAATAGCAAGCATAACCAATGTTCAGGCAAACTAATAACCAGTTATTAAATACAAGAATTAATGGCAATATCTTACACTGGTATTTTTGCTAAATTTGACTATGTTTAAAACACAACTTATAATTTCTGGCATCAACCTGAAAATTAAGGGCATAGTTTCAATATATAATACTGAAAATGTTTATACCAAACCAATAAAAAAAAACCATTAAACTCCATATTACTTATCAGAATGTTTCCTGTGCCGGGTTACAAGGGCAGAAAAAATAAGCAGACTTCTTTTTCCAGTCTTCAATCTTGTCAAATATTCATCTTCTTGATTGACCAAACAATCAAAGCACAGAGAACCCAAAATGCTCATTAGGTCCCGACAGAATGAAGGCAAAAGAGGAGCCAAAGTCAATGGCATGTAGGACCTCACCTACAAGTAAGTAGAAATGTCTAAATAAAAAGTGAACAGGACAATTTAAAAAGGATATCAAATAAATAGCAGTACAATATAAAGTCAATAGCACTTGAATACTATTCACCAGGGGAAAAAGTAACAGAAAAAGTAATAGGTCACATAACATTAGCTTAAAGTTTTCCTTTTCACAGGGAAGAATTTATTTATCTTCAACATGTTTAATAGTAACCTAAATAGGATAACAATAACAGGGTCATGTCTCCTACGCCTTATTTTTCAGTATAAATAAGAGACAGGTAGCACAAAGTAATTTTCATCCTTAATTTTCTCAAACGTCTCTATAATGTGGCTGCAGATCACAAATAAAAAGGTAGCACTTCTGTTTTTGTTATAAGAAATTCATCTGCTTTCAACAAACCACTCTGCAGACTAACAATAGTCTGCATGCATGCCACTGGGAAAAATTAGAATTGAGACTCCACAAATGTCAGTTGAAGCTGCCAAGCCAGAAACTAATAGCATCAAAGGCCAACTTATAGATGTACTGTAGACTTAAATACTTAATAGAATTTAATAACAGAAGTACAAAAAGAGTAGGCATTTGCATATTAGAAGATAACCCAAGAATGCCATTTAGATGGTAAGATCATTTAACTTCTAGGTTTAAGCTCCACCATGATTGATTATTATCTAATCAATGCAGACAATAACCAATATATAGATTTTGTGTCAATTATGCGTGTGTCAAACCAATACTTACTGCAAAATGAAGGCATTTGCATATAGTGAGGAGGGCTTTCTCAATTTCTTTTTCTGTCCTTCCATGGGTTGCTAAAGCCTGATCCAAGCATCATATACTCAGAAGCAAACCTCATAAGAAATAGTAAGCAAAGCAAATAAGAAAAACACAACACCTTTTCAACAAATTGATGGAAAACAGTAAGCAAAGGCACAAGAATTTCTTTGGATATAAGCTCCAACTGTGGTGGTACCGGCTCCTTTGCCACTTTAGGATTCAAAAAGTACTGCAAAATGAAGGAGCGAATTTGAACATAAGTCAAATCAACCAAAGCCCACCTTTTATCATCTCCATTAATGGTTTAACAATTTGAATTTTCCCAAGCCTTTCAGCATTCATCACATACAAAGTTTTAATAAAAAAATAAAGAGCTAAAATGTTACTGTTATAGAAACAGTTGCAATCCTAAAGTTCAGATAGCAGCAAACTGGGGACACAAATGCACGTGATAAAGAAAAAGATTCTCAATGAAAGATATGTTGAAAAGAATATGTTTCAGACTCCAGAGACCAAAACTGGCAAAGATTCTGAATGAAATTAAGACCGTATAATATAAACCAGGGGAAAAAAACATGAGAAAAAAGCACATGTAAAGATTGTACAATGCATGACACAAATCAATGATGACTGCTAAACTAAGGTTATATTACCTCTTTTATACATCAGCTCGATCATTAGATAAAAATTATAGACAAAGCAATGACCAGCATTCCTTTCTCACGAAAGCACATTATGACAAACTGCATGGAACAATAGAAATTTCTAAAACTCAACCACAGACTTCGAAATTCAAATACCTGGAATGGTCTGAGAAGAGCATGGAGAACAAGAAGTGCATTTACGGTATTCCATTTCCCGTTCACACCGCTGATCAGATGGCTATTCTGAATAGCAGATTGCAAATTAGGCACAAGCTCTGGCCACGCGTTCTGCTTAACAAAATCAGCAACAGCAATGGAGCGGAACTGCAGACACAGAAATAATCACTCATCACTCAGATTGACATATGTGTATATACGAAAATCAAAACGAAACACGTTCATAAGAAATTAGAATGCAAAAATCGCAAGCGTACCACTTCAACTAAAATCTTGAGAACGGACAACTCGACCTGGAGCAGAGCTTGCAATAGCTGCTCCTTGAACTCATTGCTGACGTTCGAAGGCGCGACGCCGGTGGTGCTATCGACGTTTCGACGAGTGAGGTTCTTCAGGTAGGTAGCAGCGGCGATTTTCTGACCTTGATTTCCTGCTCCTGTTCGCAAAACACGAAATCAGAACCGTCACGATTGTTTTGAGGTGAGGAAAGGAGTTGAATAGGAAAATTGAAGTTGTACCGGTGGAAATGGAGAGGAGATAGAATGGGAAGTGCGGAGTGAGGGAGAGGCGATCGAGCACATCGGTGGCGGAGCGGACGGCGGCAGCGTCGTGGTTGAGTGTTTGGTCCAGCAAGTGAGCGATCTGAGCAAGGTCCTCCGCCATGGTCAATGCTGGTGCGACCACTTCAGAACAAAAACCCTAGTTTCCGTCACCAGCTTTTACATATTGGCGGGAATGTGTCTGCTATTTATATAACATTTTCCGCTTTTTTGAGATAAGGGGAAATGGAAAAGAATGCTACATTTAAAAATCAAAAGTTAAATAAAAATTGTTTAAAAGTGGAGATGCGGGGGATCGAACCCCGTGCCTCTCGCATGCAAAGCGAGCGCTCTACCATTTGAGCTACATCCCCTTTTGCTTAAGCTTCAGATAAAGTTAAATAAAAATTGTTTAAAAGTGGAGATGCGGGGGATCGAACCCCGTGCCTCTCGCATGCAAAGCGAGCGCTCTACCATTTGAGCTACATCCCCTTTTGCTTAAGCTTCAGATAAAGTTAAATAAAAACAATATAAAATAAAGAAGAATTAATTGGATTCTTTAAAAATGCCTTACCATTTGATCTACATCCCCATTTGTTGGAGTTCAGGGAAAGTCAAATGAACACAGTATAAAATGAAAAACAATTAATGGATTCTTAAAGAATCAAAACTAATTGGAGATGCGGGGGATCGAACCCCGTGCCTCTCGCATGCAAAGCGAGCGCTCTACCATTTGAGCTACATCCCCACATTACTTTTCATCTAAAAGACATTGTTTTTAATTAATTTACACTATAATGCAAAAATAAGATTTTTTTTTTATGAAAAAGTTGTTGATAAATGGATTAAATTATTTTTTACTTTCAATAAAATTGATGAATTAAATGAATTTTTTGATTTTAGTGAAATAGATGTATTAAATTTTTATACTATTTTTTTTTTATAAATCTAAATAAATTTTTTTATCTAATATATTAATATCTGTTTAAAAATTATTCAATCTATACATTTTTCACATTTATTTAACCTTTATTGCGGTACTTCTCTGAATATCCATCACAAACCATAGTCTCATTTAGGCTCCCCAATTCACCGATGTGAAATCTCAACCCCATTCATCATAGGGGTTTCTAATGGTGGTCCCCTCTTATATTGAAGACCCTTTAATAATTTTTTTAAATATTTTATCATCCAATCTAACGGTTATGAGTAGAATACCATCCATCATTAAAAAAGTCTTTTACATCTTTAATCACAAACAAAGTCTTGCATTAATTGAATAAGAAGATAAACATGTATATTTTTTTTTTTATCAATATGAGACGTGTTGAGTAATTATAAAAACTAAATCAATGAATATTTAAGATGAAAATTAACATTATTATACTGATGATTATTGCATTTTCTTTTTGTAACTCACTTTGTATAGCTTTTTTTTATACCAGTGAAAAATTATTTAGAATAAAGAAAATTAAAAAATAATAATAACAAAATTAAAATAATTAACACTAATCATGATTACCCATCAAATAAATCAAAGTAGTGGGTAATTAAAGTCAATGCTAATTATCATTCACTGGAGAAAAAAAAATCACCCAAAAGCCACCATTTTTATTATTATTATTATGTCTAATAACTACTATATTAAGGTATTTCATTGAATATATAGTCTAACAATCTTCCGTTTGAGTCATGTGATGTGATGATTTAAAGATTTAACATTACATATAATTATGCATCATTTATGTATAGAAATATTCAAGTATTCATCTTTAATTGAATTGAAAAGATTGATAGTAAAAAATTATCAAATAATTTAATTTTATTTGGGTGTCACAAAATCACTAGATCCAAACAACTTTAGTTTTGATTATAAATAATAGTGTTTTCTTTAATATTTGAAATTTAAATCACGATTTTTGTGATCGAGTTAATTATGTTTAGCTTTTAATCAAATAATATGTAATTAAATTAAGAACCTAATTCAATATTTTGATTAAGACCGTGATGTGAAAATAAATATAAAAAGTGTTTAATTAAAATATAATCAAATTTAATAAAAAAAATGTGATTTTGAATAAATATGATATGGATTTTGTGATAACCGCAAGTGGGGACAAAAATAACATATCTAACCCAAGGCGTAATAAGGGTGAGAGGTGTAAAATATGGAAGTTATTGATCAATGAAACAAAAAATAACAATGGTTAATGATTAGTAATTGTAATATGTATTTTATATATAATACATAGTAACTGTATTGTGTGTGTGAAACTTGTATGTCTGTACTTTCTTTATGAATTATGTTTATTCTCTCTCTCTTGCCCAATGTCATGTTTGACTCGTATTCTCTATTTTCATAATTATATATTACTAGTTGTAAGCTTAAATTTCAATAATAAAAAATCATAGACCATTATTTCTATTAAGTGAATTTATTGAACACTGATTTTGGAGTATTGCAACATTTGTTGCTTTCATTGTCCTTCCAATGGCTGAAAATACTCGTTTGAAGGAAATAATTGCAGAATTAAAGCAACTCCAAGAGCATGTTACGATTCAACAAGCAAGTTCTTTATGTATTGATATGTTAGAACAAAAATTGAACTCCTTTATGGCTTCTCAGGAACTTTCATAAATAGATCATTTGAAATCATTAGTGGATACTATTACATGTTCCATACTTCTATTGACACAATTTCACTTAATTTAAAATGTGTGGGTCGTACTATTTACAAATCATTAATTTCAACCTTAAATCTAACTATAAATCGAATTCTAGTTCAATTTATCAAGATTGCAATTGTAACTGAAGTTTCAAAATAAGCTTTAATTTGTAGAATTTTATAGTAAAGAAAAAGGAGTGCAATTTAAAGTTCTATGAAATGTAAGAAGCCTGTAAACCTTAGACATGAAAAAATTCAAAAGTATTTTGCCCAAGTTAACTCCATACCATACTACACTACTTTACATGTGGACATATTTTAATCGAGATATAATAATCTAGTAATAGGTCCGAATCATATTGGTACTTAAGACACATAATAGAATGAGTAAAATAACATTATTATTTTTTGAATAGTAAAATGGTACGGCTAGCTTTTGTTACAACCATAATTATGGAAATTGCTCATTTTATTTTGTTTATACATTAAGATAATCTAGAGTGAAAACTGAAAAGAAATAATAGTGTACTGGAAAAATGAATGCGAAGGAACTAAAATGTATTAAAAATCAACAAAGAAAAAAGGTCATAATATTTATCTTTTGTTTTGCACTATTCACATTTATCTTTTTCATTTATTGATATTATAATGCTAAATGTTAATGGCAAAGCAATCCAAAGTAACCTACCTTTGCAAAAGGATGAATGGCTCCCTCGTCATGTCATAAGTTCTAATCTACGCCAATTACATAATTATATAATTGCTTTTGATTTTTGTAGGCCACTTCTTACACGGTGAAAATAATAATGATCCACACACGTTATCACAAAATTCAAATGTAAATCCCGCCCATATTACGTATATCAAATTATCAATATTATAATCATTATCAACAGAGTTTAGTTATATCTTTTTACAGGTAATTAGTGCATTTCTATTTTCTAAGTGTAATTCAACAATTTTTCCCCCATTATTAGCGATACTCTATATCTCCATGAATAAAATAAAATAAAATAATGTTTTCATGAAAAAGTGGATAGCTATTATTTTAAAGAAAAAAATATTTTTTTAAAGAGGATAATTATATATAT